CCTATAACATTTGTTTAAAACCTTTTTCTCCCTCTTTGTCCCTTCTCCAGCCTTCAGCTCTTCTCTTAGTATACCATAATGTATCAAAGCACTGGGCTACTTATGTGGAAGGATAAAGCAGCTGCTGCTTTGTGGTGGTCTGGAAATAGCATTCCCCTTGATGCTTTTAATAAAGACCCTGGGGAATTCAGATGTGAGCATGGACGGAGCAAATGGCTGTGCAATAAATAGAGAGTAGGGTCTGCTTGGTGCTTAATTGCATGGTAACAGCCTTAGATATCCTAGTCTCAGCAATTGTCCGTTTATCTTTCTTTTTCCTTGTGGTTTATAACATCTACTTGGTCACAAAATGGTGCAGTAAAAAGCCTGCTGTTCAGAAATAGAGGCAATGGCACAAAGACTGGGGCAGGAGGAGGCAGTGTGTGCTTGTGGCACCAAGGGGTAATTGCAGATTACAAAGGAAGCAGTGGTGTGATGAACAGCTGCTCCAGGTTATGTATGTTGAAGGTGAAAATGAGAATTCCTATCCTGTGTCACTATTACTTTCATAAGCTTTTAGGTAAACATAAATGTATGAAACCTACAGCATCGTTGGGCTTTTTAAAAGCAAAAGCAGCTCTATATACTCCCATAATCAGCAGTCATAAAGTAATATTGTTCCATGAGCTTGCTGGCAGAGTTGGTTGAGGAAGTCAGTTCAGCAGTACCTGTACTATGTCTCTTTAGAAAGCCTGGACCAGTTGGGGTGTGTGTCGTGTAAAACAAACAGCAACCAACATGAAACTCGTGATGTTTTACATAAATAGCTTTCAGATCTACAGATTGATCTCCTTTTAGGGTAATGTTTAAGACTGATTTATTTTGTAGCAGGAATTTCATTCTCATAAGCTCTCTAGAGTTTACATCTAATAGCAAAATCAGGAAGCATAAATATTAATTAATGAATTTGACAAATGCAGCAGTGTTGATTCCACTTGTGTTTGAATCCTAGGGGGATAAGTACACTTGTCCCATATGTTTCCACCTCTCTCCTGAGAAGTGTTTAGTATATGCCTGAAAATGAAAACCAGAAAGAAGTACTTCAGGCTGTCTGTCACTGTTTGAGCTCTCGGAAAGAGGAGGCTGCTTCTGCCATGGAGTGCTGGCTTTTGAGAATAAGTGAGGGCCAAGTGACAGCTTTAATTTTTAATTTTTTTTATTCTGTGGGTTGAAGACAGACTCCAACCAGCTGTCTGTGTTAATGAAGTACTAAGTGCATTGTGTAATTATAAGGTTTCTGAGTGTAATTGCTGTGTGTGCTGCATAATTTGAGTTCCAACTGTACTCGCATCTTTTGTTTGCCAAGGTAGTGAGGGATGTAATCATATTGAAACCAATAACAGCTCAGTACTTCTGCAGTGTAGCTGTGGGAGGTTGCACTTAGGGAGTGTATTTGACTGTTACCAAAAAATCTTGGCTGATAAAAATTGCTGTAGCAAAAAGTGAAGATTATCTGTAAGATAAAGCTGTCCTTGCAGGCCTGGATATAATGCCTTGACTAAAGAAATGGTGCTATGCTTATATTTGGGGACTGGAGGTGTACCAATTATTGCCTTATCAGAGATAGGTGCAGTGTATTGTGGCAGGAGAGAACGGAGCTGCAGGTGGATATGATGAGGAGCTCACTGCCTTTTTTTTCTGCTTGAAAAGTGGTTGGCCATCAGCAGAGACTTCTTGTAAATGTGAGTAGATGAGGGCTGAGCTCAGACGGCTCTTTTGGTGGAAGGACCTTGCATACCTATAATGCTTTATATGTTCCAGGCAAGGGTAGCTATTTGGCTTCCTCATTAAGAGACCATGGCTTCCTATAGCAACATAAGAAGTGTTCTATTTCCTCCTACAATTTGGAAATGCATTTCTGTGCCATAGTGGAAAAATGATGTATTTTGCATGTTTTTAGCAAAAGTCTGAATCTATCAAATATTAATTGATAAAGCACGAGCCTTTTCTGACTAAGGAATTTTTGGTAGGGTACGAGGTGTATGTGGCAGACTTGACATTTCCTTAGTTTTTACTCTAGTTATTGTGAGCATGGCAAAGGTTTTTAGTGGGGTTCCTTACCTTCAAATGATTTGATTCTGCAGGTACTGGCCAACTGGCTCTTCCTCCTGCCCCTTTCCTGTTGCCAAAATAAAATACAACTTACATGAAGCAGCAGTTTTATCAAAAGCTTATACAACTGAAGTCCTGTTCTGCCATCACTTGCTTGTTTTTCACCTCTGTTATCACGTTGTATTTTACAGTTAAGCAAAGCATATGCTCAGTCTGCAAGATATTTGGTGTGTTACCACCACAGTAAAGTTTCTAACATTACAGTCATGGCCTTGTGCAAAGTGGATACAGTGTTCTTTTCCTTTCCCAACATCAAAAGGAAGTTTCACTAATGGAAAAATAAATAAGAAGAACAAACCTTCAGCTTAGGTTTTCTGCAATCCTCAGGTCAGTTGTAAATTCTTCTGGCTGCTTGAAATCACAGATATATGCAGACGGGCTGTGAGGTTATTTAACTGGGATCCAAATGGAAGAGGTGGACAACTTCTCCTTCCATTCAGACTCTTGTAGGTTGTATTGCAGAGATACTGCTACAAGACTTGTCCTGTCAGCAGCAGCTTGCCATCAGACTTACCAAATGCAGTCAACAAGCACCGCTATTAGAGTAATTTTCCTTGACAGCTCACCATTATAACACTTCCCCACCGGCTCCTTGTTTTCCAGCTGCTCCAATTTAACCACCTGTTTTTTTTTATTTACTTTATACATCATTCTGTCCAGGTCTATGCTCCTGAGCAGGTGGTTGTGAAAAGGCAGAGTAATGAATAATCCTGAAGTACCTTAGAAGGTACCAAGAAGGCTCGATAGAAACTTGTCACAACTGTTTAAAAATGAGTGTAGTTCATTTAGTTAATTGAATCCACTGCGTCAATGAAAATGCTGGGCTTCCTGTTGAGCAGAGAGAGCAGTAAGTGAATGAAGCTCATCCCCAGTGGAGGAGCTGACTTCATTTGTTTCAACTGACTGAAGCTGATGTCGAGACCAGATATTCTTAATTCTTTTTGTTACTTGAGCTGGAAGCTTGGTTGTTGATTGTTTTGTTTTTTGTTTTTTTTCCTTAAAATATGTCAGTTTTTGAGTTTAGTTTTTTTAAGATCTAAGAAAAACTTAAGAATTGGAGAGTTTGTGTCTCCAGATGAGGCAATTTAGCATGAATATGGAAAATAATGGAAAATATTTATCTTGATTTTAATAAGGACTACTTGATATTTAAAGATTGTGATGAAACCTTAAGCTGTAGAAGTTTCACATAGTTTCAGACTGATGAGTATTTTAATATCTTCATTAAGCGGCCTAAGGAGCCAGTAGATATTTGAATCTGTACATGCACTGCTCTTTGCATAATTTCAGTCTCATAAATTTAAATGAAGCATAAAAAGATGTGTTTAATTTAAGTCTACAAATGAGCCATCACAAGAAGAAACACGTCACTGTTTTAAATGAGATTTTTGTCCACTTTCCAGAATCAGCTGGGACAAGAGCCTGTTACACTGCGTGGTCCAGTACTAGCAATCCTACTATGTCTGTTACTGTAACAGCAAAGTAAGACTGGCACCTTTATGCTTTAAGTGGTGTACAAGAACCCTTAGGCATGTAGTGTGTTAGAAAGGAAAGCCATTTCCTCTGTTGTTGATGGGATGGAAGTGGGTTGCTAAGGAATATATGCAGTGCATTCATGGCAGAAATCAGATCTGCAAAATTCCTCCATTACTTTAGCCACAGACCATCTTTTAAAGTAGAAGTGGCTCTCTTACATGTCCTGGTTCAACTAACTGCAAACTCAAGTTAATAGCTTATGATTTTTTTCATTGTTTGTATGGCTGTAAAGTTCTTAACATCTAAACATTCCTCAGACGCAGCACAATTGTCCTTGTCTAGAAGTTACTGACTCCAAATGGATGAGCAAGAAGGACCCTCTGAACAGTCACTGTTTCCTGCCAAACTCTTGTCTTGCACAGACCTGGTATCATTTTAATCTTTAGCTACAAAGCTCCTGTCTTTCTTAATTTTGAGATGACATGTCTTGGCTTGATTACAGTTACTTTCAGAAGGACAAACAAGAAGGAGGGAACATCAGCTTTGTGGAAGCTTTGCTTCTCTGAGTTCCATCAGTGCACTCAAGGGCACAATGAAGGGAGAGTAGTTCATGGAAATGAGAGCAAAGTGGATTCCCCTATTTACTATTGAAGAGTTGGTAACAATTGCCTCTCTTGAGAAGTTCACATCACTGACATAAGGCTGCAACCTGCAGGGTTACTATTACTATTGTTTGAGTTTGTCATTTGACCTCCAGGTGTTTCCCTTTCAGGACACAGAAGGGAAATATTACAGTTGAAGTGAAATATTGTACTTTAGGAGACAAAGTCAGGAAAATGTTATTAACAAATGGCAGCTGCGTGTTTGGGTTGTTTTTTTTTTAATCTTTAACACTACTGCTTTCTCTTTAATATGATGGGAAATTCTCTGTCCTTGAAGTGCAGTGAGATACCTGTACTTGTTCTAGTTAAATTTAAAGCCAAACTATCAAGTGAAGTATAGAAACATGAATAAACTATTCTTTTCTTTGAAAACTGATTACTTGGGCCCAATTCTGCTTTTTCAAAGGCTCATCAATCCCTTACATTCTTTTCAGAGAGATTATTGTAAAGGGAAGTACTTCAGTGCACTCATGTCTTTTCAGAACACCCAGTGCTGTGTTGCAGGCTAGAATGCCTTCAGTATTATCCAGCAAAGGATAATTTGAACATGAGCCATAACTTAATCACTGAAACATGAACAAGTTTGTGTGATTTCAACAGTGTATCTCAGAAGGGCCATAGGATCAAGCTTTGCATATTCAGGAAGCTGTTGCATATTACCAGAGGTTTGTATGAAAGCCTTAAGAGACTATTATCTTGTTGTTCTTGCAGTGGCCAATTTGCTATTGTGAAGAAATGTAGAGAAATAAGCACCGGTTTGGAGTATGCTGCTAAGTTCATTAAAAAGCGTCAGAGTCGGGCCAGCCGTCGAGGGGTGAGGCGTGAGGAAATAGAACGGGAGGTGGACATTCTGCAGCAGACCCTGCATGCCAACATCATCAAGCTTCATGACATCTACGAGAACAAGACGGATGTGGTTCTCATCCTTGAGCTGTGAGTAAGGGACTTGCTTTCCTCTGGGGTTGGATGAGGCTGCCAGAGCACAGGGGTACTGTTAAAATGGAGCTGTTGTCTTTTCGGGCCTCGCAGGTCTTGGTGGGGGAGCTGGATGAGGATGCTCACGAACAGCCCCATGGTCAATTCATGTGTCCTGGGGGCATAGGTGCACCTTAAGTCACCCGAGGCCATTGTCAATGAGCCAGGTTCTGTTGTCAGCTTCAAAAAAATAAAAGAAAAAAAAAAGAAAAGAAAAAGAGTTTGCCAACAGAGTGTGTGGTGCTGCCCTGACATGAGCCTTTAAGGAACCACAAATGGCCACTGAACTCCCCTTTCTTTTTTTTTTTTTTTTTTTTTTTCACTTCCTGCAGTCTTCCTTTTCAGTGCACAAAAATCTTGCAATATTTTCAGCTGTTCTACTAAATCCACATTTTCTTCACTTGGACACTTGGAAGCGACAAGGAGAAAAAAGGGAGGGAGTAGGGGAAGAATTTTGGGGATCCCCAAACTTTCCTTATTCAGAGTGAATAGCAGCAGGGTGGGAATGAAGAATTTCTCTTGCAATGTGATGGGGAAAAACTCTTGCCTTTTAGGACTTGCTGACAAGTGTACCTCCTGACCTGGACTTCTGTGGGCCATTATAGCCTCATTCTTGCTTTGTGGCCCACTGGATGGCCAGGCTGCTGGTTTGGGATGATTATTATGCATATTTGGCTGTGAAACATAGCTTTGTTCTGTTTAAGATGAGATTCAGAAGCAGCTAGCAGCAGCCTCTCTGTCTGGGCTGAGAGAACAGTGGCTTTTTCTGTAGGACCTGTGCACGTCCCTGCCTGTAAGAATAGATGCCCATCCCAGGGAAGCTGGAGATGTGGTCAGGCATCATTTTTACATGGACTTGGTGAAGGAGCCTTTGCTTGGCTGGGATGTGATGTGAGTTTGCATTTAAAGGAGTCACCTTTGGTCCTTTTGTCTATACATACTCTCACTGGCTGTAAGGAAGTGAGAAAACCTGGCTAGTACATGTTCACAATGCAGAGAAATGCCAGATGATTAGAATCTGAAGTAGTATCAGAATTGTTGGTCTCTCCAATAGCTGTGGAATTCCCTGTGTGAATTCTTTTTGCTGTTTGTTTCATCAGCCTAGAAATACTGCATCCCAAAGACAATATCTCTTTCTTACACTCTGCTGTCCTTCCCATGTGTTCAGAGATGGCAAACTGAGATGAAACATTTTAGACAGATGCAGAGCACAGCCTAATAATGTAAGGTTTTATAATCTAACTTGTTTTACATATGTCCTGCCTGTTTCTGCTGCCCGATTTGAGATTCAAAGTCCCTGGCTTGGACAGACAGGCCTGGCCATATTTTGAGAAGCAGTCACATAATTTTTAACAGTGCTTCAGAGACATTATGTGTTGGGGATTACATGCAGGGATGTTAATCTTAAGGGGCTGGGGTAGAGTTTACACGATCACTTTCTCTATGTCACCTCAACTTACAGTGGTGAAGCTGAAGTAGAGCTTTTCAGAAAAGGGACTAATTGCCAAAGAATGAAGAGTTTCTGTTGTAGAGATAGAACAGCCAACACACAAAGTTCTAAGGAGAAAGCTGGACACTGTCACACAAACCGGGGACCAGAACTGTATGCACATACTCATCATAGCCAGCAATGGAAGTGGCTATTTTATTAAACAGAGCTTTGCTGCTCAGGGAGTATGATTTTGGCCAGCAGGATGAATATTTGCCATGAAGTGAAAAAAGGAAAACAGCAGTTACAGCATTTTTGATCTATATTTTGTTCTTTAGTGGAGCTGATATCACCTAAAGTACAGATCCCTGAGTTTTAGAGGAGCTGTGCAGAAGGTGACATACCCTTTGTCTGTAAATCCATGGCACTGAACTAAAGCTGTAGTAAACAAGGAGGAACCCAGAGGTCTTCTACTTACAGCAGTTTTTAGGTACTTAGTAAATTATGCAGTTTGTGTATGAAGCAGGAATTATAGGAACGCCATAACTGACATTATGCAGATTGTTTGTTCCCCAGAGCACCTGCCCTGGCCTTGTGCATGGAATCCAGACAACGAGGCTGTATGAATAACCACTAGTCTTCCAAGAGTGTCAGCACTCAGGCCAGGGAGCGTGCCTGGAGATTGATGTGACTGCTGGCAGATGGCATGTGAGTGGTGGTGAGCATCTGTTAAGTATGTGTGCATGGCCAAATGTTAGTCTCTGTAACTACAAGTCTGCTTTAGAAGACAGGAAAGAAGCTTGCTCTCTTTGATTGTCAGCTACTAAGCCACCTCCCATTTCATTATCTTCTACTTCTTCCTGTCCTCACATGGCCTTGTATATTTTGTATGTATTCTTGTCAGGCAGTAGCTTATTTCATAGAATCACAGAATCGTGGAATGACCTGGGTTGAAAAGGACCACAATGATCAGCTAGTTTCAACCCCCCTGCTATATGCAGGGTTGCCAACCACCAGACCAGACTGCCCAGAGCCACATCCAAAGCCACATCCACATCATTTCATTTTTAGAGGGCTGAGTGTAACAGTACTTTGAACTTACTAAGGCCACTGCATTCTGCTACTGCACACAAATTGAGGATGATGATGATAATTGCTAATAAAGCTACATAGATTCTCTCTGTAAGCAGATGATTTCTACTCCTCACACACTGTTATCAGTCTCATACTCACTGCAGTTCATTCAGATAAGCATTTTCAGCACATGGCCAGTTAATCTTATGACAAGCTGCAGTGAACTTTAGCTTCAAAAGAATATTCCCAGTGTTCTTATTAATTGAAGAAGCTGCCTGGATGTTTAAAACAGGCTTTGGCTTAAATGTTGACACCCTCTCCGAATCAGATTGTGCTGGCACTGACAGTGGTATCTTCCCTTTATGTGGGGACAGATTCTACAGATGCTGCTTGTTTTGTTCAGGGGCAGAAAGAGCACTGCCTAGTTCACTGCTGTAATGTGCACCTAGGCAGGCCCAGAGTTTGCCCTTCCACGTGCATGCTGCCCAGGGTTACGCTCCCCACAGCTTTCGGTGACCTTGCTGCTGTTCTCTGTCGCCTGGTTTCTGCCTTGAGCTGCTTTGCCAAAACGAAAGTGGCTTAAAGGCAGCCCTGATTCATACACCAGACTCCTCTACTAGTAAGCGTTCCCAAGAAATAAGGCAGCTTTATCATTTATTGGACTTTGCAGGAAGAGCAAAGTGTCATCCGCTTGCTTCTTTCTTTTCCTTGGCAAGAAAGGTGACGTGATAAGAGATAAAGAGATGAGACTGGAAGAAGGGATTTTTTGTAAGATGAAGTCCCCTAAGAAGGGAGCACTCCCTCTTTCATTTGTGGTGTTGATTTGGAAAACACACTTGTCTGGATGTTCAAATGTGACCTGCAGTGGAGCTGTGAGTTTTTTACTGCTTTTGTTTTACTCTGTGCATTTCAGGAGCCAGAGAACATTGTCTGCATTCCAAGTGGTAGTAGGGTTAGGTAGCTAAAAAAATGATTGCAGCTGCGACAAGTTATTAAAGGAATCTGTAAGTGAGATCTGCTAGTCTCTGCTGAAATCTGTGTACAAAGAGCAGGCAAGTCTCATTTCCTTAATTATTTCTATTCAGAGTACACACCAGCGGTCACCTCCTGCAGCAGTCTGGCCCTGCCAGCAGGAAGCCAGCTGCACTGGGATACTTTCTGCTACCCTTCTGGAATGTAACCATGCAGGCACTCTACTCTCTCTCCCTTTGCGCTGCAGAAGCTTCTCGTGGCGGGCTTTTTAATGAGAATTAGTCATAAGTTCTGTCCGAAAGGGCCTGACAAGGTTTCAGCTCAGCCTTCTCTCCACCAGCGCTTGCAAAAGAAGATACTGCTTAAGGAGAGCACAGATCCCACGGCACTTTATGAAAGGCATTCCCTTCGCATTCCCTTGGCACAGAGGACAGTACTGAGGATGTCAGAGAATATATGTACAAAGGAATGCCAGAAAATTTAGCAGAGGGAACTTTCAAGGTACAAAAAGCTACAGGAAAACAAATAAGGAAAATTAAAAAGATTCAGAGTGTCTGAATTCCCATTGCTACTTTACCAGCAAAAGGCTATTCCTTAAAACAAACATGAGCATTTTGTTTTCTGAATATCTCCAGTGTCTTGTAGTAAAGTCTAAGACTTAGCCTGAGCTGCAGAGATCTTAAGAGACCAATCTAAAGGAAAACTCAGTAGAAGAGATGTGATGATTTCTCATTAATATGAGGTTTGAGTAAATTGTACAAAAAGTTAGTAGGAGTAAGTATGTAGATCACTCTGGAAGTAATCCTGGAATATTTGGGAGAAGGTCTAAATTCTACTGCCATGCTACCAACATCCACCTCTGATGTTATGGGTCAATATAATAAAACAGGAGGCATTACTTTTGGAGCAGCTATTGCACCATATTCCTGAGTCCTTCATTTTTGTTTGCCAGCCACTTAGCAGCAACGATTACAGACCAAGGGACTTCTGCAGGTGAAATGTCCTGCCTCATGTTGCATAGAAAGTTTCTTGCCAATGTGGAAACTGTGGAAAAATGTCCCATAACTGGCAGGCAGGTCATTAGGCACTGTGTGAATCAGTGCCTTCAGAACAGAATGGTGTCATATGCTGTCACCCACAGCATCAGTGAGAGCTAAGAAATGAGCCAAAAACTGGCATTTGACATGGGGTTCTTGTTTGCAATTGACTTCTTGCAATTTTTTGTGACCGTTCACAGTAGTTTGCTTGGAATGAGGCAGAGTAGGGAATCATTGTCTGTCACCACCAGTGTTAGAAAGGAGCCTGGGGTCAGAGGAATGATGGATTGCCTAAAAGACCTCTGCAGTGCACAGGCAGTGTGATCTGACTTGCCTGTGAGTCACAGCACTCAGTTAACTCAAAGCACTTGAACCTGCGAGTTCTTTTACTGCTATCTCATTAGACAACAGGGCCGAAAATCTATTTTCCTGATTTACTGTTGGATTGTTCAAGTCTTGCTCTTGAGCTTGGAGTGGTGAGCGCAGATAAGTGGTACATCTCAGTCCAAGAGGAAACAACCATTTTGAGAAATAACTGCCAGGAGAAAAATTGGATTATGATAGATTATCAGTGAGTGTGAACTGAAGGCAAGAAATGTAAGTGTAAATGTGAATAACAACTGCAAACAGTGCACAATTCATTACCAAGATAATCCTCTTTCGTGATGTATGGAAAAAGTAGCACTGAGGGCTCTCAATATGAGACAAAAGAAATAGTTGTGTGTACTAAATACATATGGAATTTCATTTTTGAGGACTCATATTAACTTGTAACATTCCCTTGGTTGGAAACAACAATTTTGGGTACCTTCCAGGCTGCTGCAATCTGCTTGCTTTTTAGCACAAAATGAATGCTTTCCTGTCAGTGTATGTCAGGCAAGAATTTGTATTGGTTCTACAGCCACTGTAATGGCTGTTCTGGAAAGAAGACAAAAGTTTGCTGCCCGATTTCATTGCTTCATGTTACTGGTGGCAGCTGGTAAGCAACTATTCAGCAGTTGCTGGCTATTGCAGTTTTCTCTGTTTCCCGTGTCTTGTCCAAAGTGAAAATGTTGGAAAACTGCAGTTGGAATAGTTAACGTCGAAGCCTTCCTGTTACAACATGTCTGTAGGTTTATCAGACAGCACACCTCTTTTTGGACCTTCATAACTCTTGATGAATCAAACCTTGCAGCATCAATGCATTAGGGAAAGATAATCCTTCCTTTGGAGGGGAGGGAGCTAAAAGCAGTTTTGGCACCTTAGGGCAGAGCACAGAGCTCCAGATTGTCGGTGAAGGTGGCCTTTACTAACTATATGGAAGTGTTCAGCTACTTCAATTTTCTTTGATTACGTTTATTTTATGTCCTAGAGCGCAGTTGATAACAGGAAGTTTCCTGGTGTGTTTTGCAGGGTGTCTGGAGGAGAACTTTTTGACTTCCTGGCACAGAAGGAATCTTTGAGTGAGGAGGAAGCAACCAGATTCATCAAGCAGATTTTGGATGGTGTGAATTACCTCCACTCTAAGAAAATTGCTCACTTTGATTTAAAGGTGAAGAGGCTGATTTAGTTACTGTTATTGTTAATTTTTGATGACTGTACCTTTTTTGGGATGTAATGTTAGTGACGTCAGGTGGTCAGTGGTGATGTTACAGAAAAAAAGCAGAATAGAAATGAGAAAAGGTAAGTGGGGAATCATTTCACTGATGGAGGATATCAAGTTATCTAAAACAAATTCACAGATTAAGTCTATTGGATTTAATAGGACGGTTTCCTGGGGTTTTACTAGTGTTAAATTAGGCATATATTTTTTTAAGCAGTGATCTGATCAGATGGAAGAAAATTGATATTTATCTCATCACTTATCAAGGCTGCATCAATTTCAGTGGAGCTGCAGTGTCCTACACATCTTAAGGAATAAAACAGTGCAGGGCTGTGGCTGTGACTTCTTGCTCCAAACAAACTTACATCATGTATCTGCAGGGAACACGTATGCCCTAGATCCATGGAAGAAAACCAGACTTGTTAGCCAGAGGCTAAAATAGGCTATGACAATAAATTATTCATATGCTTTCTTTCCCAGTACAGCTCTGAGTGAGTGTGTGTGTTAGCAGGAGACACTTCCACCTTAGGATCTGCTTTGAAAAGGCCAGGCAGCTGCCAGCAGTGAATCAGATTGTCTCTCCATTGCTCTTGAGCTTATGATTAAGTTATGAAAAATTAATGCAATGAAGCTCTTCATCAGAGATAATTGAATCTGCAGTTTATTCTGAAACCTGTGAAATAAGTACAAGGAGCAACTAATGCTGAGAAACATAATTGGAAAAAAAGAAAAAAAAAGAAAAGAAATATCCATTGCATTTGGCAAAGAGTAAGGAGTCTATGACTGAGGTAAAGATAGGTCTAATATCAAAGTTATTCTAGCTTTGGCTCAGGGCCTTGCCCTGTGAATCTGTAGGAAATGCTGCATGTTCTTCTAATAGCTTGTTGTCATACATGATATAGGACCACTAATCACTGCATTTTCCATTTTAAGGATTATTCAGGCAGCAAATCCTGTAGATCTTTCTGGGTCGTCTTGTTGCAGGTGTGAATTTAGTTCCATAAAAAAGATTATTTACCTTCCCTAAGTAGGTTCAGATGTGTTAAGAGCCGTATACTAAGACATTGTCCAGCAGGTTATGGTACATTAGTTACAGCTGGGCAGAAATAATGGGATTTTTCAGTGTACATTCCAAGAGCAGTTCAGCAAAATACTCAGTTGTGTAGCTCTCCTTCAGGATTGAGCAAGTGCATGCTGTCGTTGTACTAGGTAGTTGCACTGCTTCAGCTGCCCTCTAGCTGTTAAGTAGCCACTGATGTTAGAACAGTGGCAAATCCATGGCATCAGGGCCTGGCATCTTCCTAGGAGGCCTTTCAGGACGAGGAAGTGTTTTCTGATTTAACAGAGGACAAGATGCACCACAGAGCCACTTGATGTTACATCACAATGCTGCTGGGATAACGATATCGTTACATATCTTATCAGATTAGGGAACTAAATACAGTAGTGTGGAAACAAGGATATGTTGCTTCTATCCTGGCAACAGTCATCATTAAGATGGGCTTAATGTGAAGATAGAAAGATTTTGCTTGAGGTGAGAATAAAGACTGCAAGAGGAAGAATGTATTATTTTATTATTTTTATTTTTATTATATTATCAGTTTTGTTTCCCTGTTGCAAAATTCTGATCTGTTCATTGATGTCAAACGTTATGAGATCTCATCCCTTTACCAAAAGAATGAATTGTGTATGATTAAGAAAGGACACGTGTTTCTTGTTCTACAGTGTTGTATATGGGAAGGAAAAAATTTGAGAACTGGAGGTGTAGATCTGTTATTTTCTAAGATAATACAACAACAAATATCCATCTTTTGTTATTTTTAGCCTGAAAACATTATGCTTCTTGACAAGAATATCCCTATTCCACACATCAAACTCATTGATTTTGGCCTGGCTCACAAAATAGAAGATGGAGTTGAATTTAAAAACATTTTTGGAACTCCAGAATTCGTAGGTGAGTGACCAGTTTGTATCAAGGTGACCTAAATCTAGAAATCTGCTATATTTTTCTGCATTAGGCTTTCTGTATGCCTGATGGGCTACTCTTGTGGGAGTCAGTTGTTGCCAAATAAATGTTTAGAGACACAAATTCAAGGCTGAGGTTGTGAAACACTGCAATACAAGTTATAATTTTCTATAATTTTCTCCCTGTTGCCTGGGTCAAGTAATCTGTGTGCGTTGCTGCACAATTGCACAGGTTCCTCTTTTATTTCTTTCTAGTCAAACTGCCTCCCATTATTTCTCCCCTCCATTTTTCCACTTGATTTTATTGTTATTGCTTACTGATCATCATTCTAATTTGTCTCTCTACTTCCTATTTGTTTCATTTTGAGTTTTGGGGGTTGTGGTGAGGAAGAGAATTGTAATTCATGTTCCATTTAAGCACGTCTGTTCCATGACCTGAGATGATTTCAGTGCTGCTAGAGACACCTTTTTTTTGTCTCAGTATCTTACCTTGGTCTTTTCCCTTGCATGCTGTCTTACACGGGGATGCTTTGCAATAAGGAATTTTTTCTTATAATACGATTTCTCATGGATAGCACTTGTCTGTTTTTTGGTCTTTTTCTGTTCCCATCCACTTTCTTTTTTTTTTTTTTTTCCTATTATCTTCTATAGCTCCAGAAATAGTGAACTATGAACCACTGGGGCTGGCTGCAGATATGTGGTAAGCTTCTAACTTCTTTTCCAGGTTGCTCTCCTGACAATTTTTCCCACTGTTCTCTGAAGGGAATCTCAAAACAAACTTAAGTCTGATGATTGCATATTCTTTGTTCTGTCATTCCATTTTTTACTGATTACTTTTACTGGAAAGGTAAAAGAAGGGGTTAACTTCTTCAAAATTACAGTGAAAAACTTGAATAATGGCCATTACAGAGTTAATATTTTGCCACTGTCCACTGCGGAGGAGCAGTCTCAAAAGAAAACATGTTCCTGCAGTGCCTGTGACAGCTTTATTTATAAGAGCACTGCATGCAGAGGAGACCTGCGTACTAATCTGGTCTGCTGAGAATGCAGCCAAAAGAAGTCACCCCAAATAAAATGCCCTTCCTACTGTTTCTGGTAGGTACTGTGGTAAATATCTCCCAGCATAGAAATAAATGATTTCAAATATCCACAAAATAGGAGTATTGGTGTAAAAATCACATTTTCATTGAAACTAGCTTTAGATAACAACTGTTATCAGAAACAATGAGAGCTTTCCTGCCCGTATTGCAATACTGTAACCATTTCTGTATTGTATATGTTGAAAAGAATATAGATAGTGCAGAAGCTTTGCAATTAATCCCCTTTGTTTTTCAGGAGCATAGGAGTCATCACCTACATACTGTGAGTACAAACCATACATTCATTAGTATATGAGTGTTCCTAAAGCTCTAATGCACTGCTACAGAACAGCTTTTCCTCCAGTCAAGCAAGAAAGGAGCTGCACACACATCCTCTAAAGGAAAAACGTATTCCTCAGCTTTTTCAAATTTTAAAATAAGGCATTAAAAAAATTGAGAGGGCCATTATGACCAGATGAAGAACAAATGGCTCTGAAGATGTTGGGCATTTCAGCTTCCTATGAGATCTCATTAGTACAGTGTGATAGAGGATAGAAAAGCCCAAGCATGTTGGTTGGGCGTAGAATAGTTGAATTACCAGTGTGGAGAGAATAGATACATAGAGTATCTCACAGCAGCATTTACAAGCAGAGTTATTTCTGGTGAAAACAGAGGAGTTTGAAACTGCTTGTAAAGGTAGCAGTTTAGTTTATATAACTATGGTCACCCATATTAAAAAAGAAGAATTTAAGCTGAAACAGGAGCAGAGATGGTTGATCCAGGAAGCAGAGAACTCATCTTGCAGCATTAAAAAGAGCTTCTTAAAGGTAGAGAGGCAAAGGCTGGCTGGGAACATCACCACAGTCAGAAAGCACAAGAAAAAAATGCTCATGAGGAAAGCACATAAACTCTAATAAATGAGATTCTATTGACATACTGGAAACAAGCAGTTGAGATAGTTTTAAGATGGAGCTTGACAATTTGTGGAACTGCTTCTTTCACAAGATTCCTGTGGTTTATGAAAGCTGTCTTCTTGTCACCTTCTTTTTGACTAACCGAAACAGAGCAACCGCTTAAGAGGGAGGGTGGAGAACCTGTTAAGAAATGAGATTCATTGTGCCTATGGGGCAGACTTTACGGCATCAAAAACAGCTGGAGAACTTCATTTGTGTTGCCTTACTGTGTCAGCAACGTCAGTGTCATTATATGATTAAAGCAGAAGAGAAAACTTTCTGTGCTCAAATGCTTATTCTGTGAGTGAAGCTGTGGTAGCTGGGGACTGGGCTGAATGACACACGTGGTCATATGTCTTCTTCTGCTTACCTCTGAATCCTCAGTCAAATTGATAGTGAAAGTAAAGACAAAATAAAAGATCTGTATAGCAGTTTTCTATTCAAACACTCACTTTAGATCACAGGAGTTTGCTGCGATCCTATTTTGAGCCTGCTGCATCGCAAAGCTTTGCTATCAAAACTAGACACAGGAGATGAGCATAATAGTCCAGACAACTTTAAACAGGAATGAAATAAATTTCCTCATTATAAATAACGTTTCCTGTAAACCAGACTTGCATCCCTTCATGTTGAGGGGAGTGGAGGGCAGGGTAGGAAGAGTCTGCAATGAGCCTGCTCTGACATTTGAATTTTGTGGAGAAAAGGTAAATAGTCATTACAGATGAAAGTTGTCAAGTCATAGCTGAGAGAGGCGAAGTAGACAAATGAAAATGAAAGCTTTTTCTGTCTAAACAAAGCTTACTGAATGCTGTTTTATTATGATACATCTATTATGTCCATACGGTTGGAGGAAAGGGCCAAGAGAATGCAATCTTACATTGATCAGAAACGGTTGGATTCTATCTCAACCGAAGTTCCATAGTGAATTTCTTTTGATGAGCTGTGTGCCCATTCCTCCGTGCAGGGCTGACCTCTAGCAAGGCCACCCCTGATTTCTGGTCACACACTGTACTGTAATGCCATCTGAGAAACATCTCCTGGCTGCACTTACTGCACAGGGAACTTGTCAGTAACTTTGCAGACAGAAAATTGCAGGCAGGATTTTTTCTACCTGATGAAAATGAATGGAAATACAAATTTATCTGCTTGACCTGACAGAAGCTTTCTGGCTGGTAGTGTTTGTGGAGTCATAGCCACAGATGCTCTCCTCAGCTGAAGCTTTTCCTATTTTGACAAACTGTGACTTCAGTGAGATACTCAGAATGGGAGAATCTGTGCATGTCTATCTGAGCACTCAGTGCTGCCCTAGAGACTTTCAGAATGAGTCTGATTCAGAACCACAGATGCTGGACCTGTTATTTCCCAAGTGTTGTGGCTGCTACAATACAGAGATCCACAAATAGGGGACCTGCTTCCAGTTGATTCTTTTTTATGGCTTATCTAGGCTTAGTGGCGCATCACCTTTCCTTGGAGAAACTAAACAAGAAACGCTCGCTAACATCACAGCTGTGAATTATGAATTTGATGAAGAATTTTTCAGCAATACCAGCGACCTGGCGAAAGATTTTATTCGGAAACTGCTGGTGAAAGACACACGGTAAGTGAAAGCTCAGAATCGTTCATCGGTGTTTTAGATAAATCTGGTGAAACAGCCTGCAGAGCAATCTGCAAAGCCTTCCCTGCAGTGTGTGTTGCCATTCAAGAGCAAGATGGTAGGCAGAGTTCTGCTGCTGTGCCCACTGTGAATCACAGCATCCACAAACTCTAACAAAAGGAACTGAAATCTCCTTTGTTACATTTCAATTTCATGACTGCATTTTCTCCAAAGTCAAAGTGCTACAACAATGTGTTGGTGAAGGGCTGAAAATGGTATGCAAAATCTTTAGTTCTAGGTAACTACCACTGCAGTATTTCAATCTGCTGTGAACTGCCTGCAAGGACATGACACAATCCTGTAAAACGTTCCCTGTGGTCCAAGAACATTTTGTTTTTACATCTGCTCCTACTGGAATTGTTCTTTATGTCTCTATGCATCCACTGCAATCACTCAGGATTTGCATGACAGCTATTCAGAGTTTTATTCTCAGTCCTTGTTAAATGTGTTTCTTTCTTTTAATAAAGTGCACATAGAAGTAGCATCTCCTTCCCCTTAACTGTTCATCCCAGAGGGAAGTCAGGCTGTTGCAGTTCTTTCTAGTGGCTTCAATAGGAGAAAAGAAGGATATTAGAAAGAGGCAAACTGTTGGGTCAAGCCCCAAGGAATTGCAGCAGTCTTAGAATAGGTTAGAGTAGGTGGGGTTTGATGAGAGGCTAGTGCAGGTCTAGCAACCTCCTTATAAAAAAGACAAGTCAGGCACGTTGATATTTGTCACGTGTTATAGAGCAATGTGGTGGTTCTGCCTTTGATTCTGAATGGTGATAGGGTGCTGTTCACTGAGCTGCACACTGCAGGAAGAAGTTAGGATCAATTATGTTGGATAAGATTTGAAGTATTCCTCTCAAATTCTGTTTTCAGGACATGGCAGGAATGATTGCACTCTGTTGCACTCTAGAAGACACTTTTGATATAATTAACATTGTATACCATGATTCAGACACAGTCATGTTAAAGGTATATAGAAATAATTTATTCTCTAAGCCTGTAGGATGAATAATCTTTTATCACTTCTTATAAGAGGGTACACAAAAATAAAGATTTCAGACAGGAAGGCATTAAAATTGGGACGGGGACAACTTCCTACTGGCAAACACACAAACAGCATGCCTTGTGGAAAAGCATAATCCTGAATTTCAGTATTAGGCCTGAAGTTATCTTGATAAATGCTTTACTGCTTATACAAGGGCAAAGAGAAGGCTAATGGACTTGTATGCAAGGTATTTCTCTCTCAAATCTGTACTTTTTGTGTTTCTTTTTTTGTGTTTTTTTTTTTAGGAAACGTCTTACAATTCAAGAAGCTCTGTCTCATCCATGGATAACGGTAAGACCAAATAAAAAGGGAGATCTTGCTTTTTGCTGTGGGCCGAGCAGAGATAATGTTCTCACTCTTATTGATGTGTTAATTGGAAATCTGACCTCTGTGTAGTTAGAGACCATTGACATCTGAAAGAGGAGATGTACTGGGAGGAAATTGGTTGGGTACTGACTGAATCTTGGGATTTCTGCGAACCTTAATCATGACTTTTTATTGTCGTGGTTTTCAAAAAGAGGAGAACAAAGCTTTGATGTTTGTTGCATGTACAGTGTCCTACATTAGACTGTGCTTTGCATTTCTTCATCCTTCTCTGCTTGCACGATAAGCACTGTATCTCAGATATAGTGCTTTCTTGATTTGGGAGTTGATCACAGCCAGTGTGGAAATATAATTTACCTCAGAATGTAACTGTGTGTACCACATGTGTTGATTTGCTGACTTTTGTGTCTGAATGGATTTTTTCGTCATAAATGTTGCTTGTGTTTGTGGATGCATAAATATAGAAAATACCTCTGGATAATCTCAGCATGCACAGTGATCCAGTTTTTGCTCTGCACTGCAAAAAGCACTGAGTGGACTCTTTTCAGGACTGTTGTTTTTCCTCTTACAAATTTTTATATTTTTGAGAATGACTGATTAAAAAATTAACAACAAAAGAAACTGAGGCCCTGGTCTTCAACTTACCACACTGGAATGAATGCACATTGCTTACTACATTCATTTTTTCCTGTTGTTTTATTGTTGTTTTTTTTTTTTAATTGAATGTGTGAAGGAAAATCTGTGGGAGAAAAGAATCTCCCACAGATTGGAAATTCAGGCTGCATCCTTTGTGTAGAGTTTGAATTACTGCACTGTCTTGTAAATGTCCAGTAATGTTGGTTCCTCTATCTGAAGACTCACCAGCTGAAGGAAGAAACAAAAGTCGAAGAAAACAAGAAGGCTGAGAACACACAGCTCAAGACAAAACGACTGAGAGAGTACACCATAAAATGCCATTCAAGTATGCCTCCTAATAACACCTACATCAACTTTGAGCGCTTTGCCCAGGTAGTAGAAGACATTTCATTTATGGAACGAGAGGTCAGCGCTTTGGCTGCGTCCCATGACTCTTTGCAGGAGGACATTGATGCTCTGGTTTCCATTTATAATGAAAAAGAAGCTTGGTATAAAGAAGAAAATGAAAGCGTGAGGCATAAGCTGTCTCAGCTCAAGTATGAATTCCGCAAAACTGAATCCCTGAAAAGACATCTACAAGATGATATCAAGACTGTAGGTGCCAGTCTTACAGTCATAACTGGGAAATATGCTGCTCTGCAGAGTCAGTACGAATCTCTCAGTCAAGAGCTTTCTGAGGATCTTAAGTGGATACAGGATTTGATGAGTAATTTTCAACTGGAAAATGGAAATGAAGCCTGTGTGAATGGAAACTTTGACTCTGTTTTCAACAAAGATATCAGTGAATCCCTAACGGATCTATTAAACAGATCGTGCTGTGAAGAATTCCTTGCAGGGCTGAATCTCAATGTAGCAGAATCAAATCAGTAATGTTCTACATCAGGTTATATGCAGGCTTTGCTGCCTCTCTCAATGTACAACAGTTTTAAAAAAATAACATTTCAGTGCATAATCTCCACACACAAAAACATTACCTAGAACTGAAACAGGAATTCTGATGTGTTGCACAAGTTGCTGACCAAAACCCAAATATAAATTCCCAGTGCTGAAGTTTGTAGTGTTTAAGTTCTTTCCCATGCTTGGTGTCTGAACTTACAGGAACTGGGTTATCACTGTAGCATGGACCACAGCTAACCTGCATCCTTTTGCATTTCCTATGTCATACTTATCATACGCTACGGTTCCTGAAGTTCGCTAAGTAATGAATGCAGAGAAGAGAGTTCAGTCTGTATTTGCTGGGCTGGGTGCCTAGAAACCAGTAAAGAATTAATGATAGCATGTCCATTTGGATGAAAGAAATAGTCACCTAGAGCTGCTGTGGGCAGTTCTACAGAGCAGATGGGAGAAGTATTTGCAAGTATTTGCAAAAAAATTAAATCTGTGCTGTAACATGAAGTAAATGAAGTTAGCAGTTTAGTATGGGGAAATTCTCTATGAGAATGGCTGCTGCTGAAGAACAGTTAAAATCAGGCTTTTCAAGATGAAGTTTTTAGGCCTGTAGTTCAGATTGGGATCTTCTACCATCAGGTGTTAGCTAATGATTAATTCTTCAGTTTAAAATTCAGTGGAGTTTCTTGTCCCATAACAAAGAAACTTACTCCAAAGACAGAATTATGAGTTTGTAACGATCAAATTACTGTGTATATCATTTTGCAGTGCCAATATTAAAATGTGAGTGATGACAAGCAGTAACATACATGTCTGATTTGCTTTCTACAGTAAAGATGAGACCGAACTACAACTAATTTAATATGCCATGTGGGATTGAGGACTAATGTTCTTTGTGTGAAATTGTTGGGCTTTTTTTAAGTTTTAGAAAGTAAGAGAAAGGTTGTCCCAGACTTGAATCCTGACTTGTGTTTCAAAGATTTCAATTGATTATACTGTATATTCACATGTACTTTGAATCATTTTTAGACCCAGTAAATTGTTCTTTATGCAGATGGCAGTTCTTCCTTGATTATGTAGTCAGTGGCAAAAAAGGAACTGTGAAGCTTTTTTTGTACTGGGAAGAGTAGTTGGGCATCTGCTTTATGCCCTCTTTGCTCAGCTATTTGAATTTGCTTCAAGATAACTGTTACACAGATACAGGAATTACAGAGGTAGTAGCCAGGATTCCCTGTATCCGTGTTCAGGTCCATCCAGAGTTGATCTCGAAATGTAGTAGAAGGGGAGAATTTAATGATCTTCCTGAATTTGAACCACCGTTGTTCATAACATTGTTTCCTACTTTGAGATAAAAATGGTAAAAGCATACTTTGATCCAGTTTGTGTAGGGCACAGTGGATCTGTCACTGTCACTGTGAAGACATACAGAGGCTGGTGGAAATGAAGGGTCCTGGAAACAGTTGCTCAACAGGGGTGATGTTGACACTGTCATGATAGTTGGAGGATGGAGTGTGCTCTCTGGCATCTTGCTTTGCACAAGAGGTAAAATTTTAGATACCCAGGAGATGTCCCTCACATACTGATGCTGTTGGCAGGGACTTTTGGACTCCAGAGTGCCAAGCAGTATTGGAAATATTAACTGTCTCAGCTTTTGATTGGCTGTGAAGGCTTCAGTCATCATTTCTGCAGGCTCCTTGGAGCTACAAGATGCAGGAGATGCTGTCCAGACAAACTGGAACATCAGACTTTCTGTTGTTGTTAAAGAGAGAGTTTCAACTCTTAAGAAGTAACTTAAAGACTACTGAGAGTCAGTATCTGCATAAAAGACCCTCAGTGAAGAGAGTCTGTCTGCCTTCCCTCAGCTGTCATCTCACATCCTCTGATCTGTGTAGATTTTCTTGTGGAACAATGCACTGACATGACGAGAAGGAACATGAAATGAGGCCACTCTGTTCCCAAGTGTTTGGGTGAGGTCAATATTTCTGTGGCTCAGTCCTTGAGGTCAGTGCTCTCTGGGCTGAAAGGGGTAAATAACACTGTTTTTGAGAAGGTGTTCTGATGATTGAGAAGATGACAGGGTCATTGTTTGCAGGCTGCTTAGCATTTGGGAGATAGTTATTAACAGCTGGGAGCAGTGTGAAGCAAGCTATTTTGATTTGGCAATGGCTCTGCTACTAAAAGGGCACTGAGAAATTTTCATATATAGCTGACATTCAGACTGTGACATTTTTTCCTCTTCAAACTGATTCTACAAGGTTTTGTTGTACCATGTTAGCTATTTGCAGCACGGGGAAATGCACTCAGTGCTTATGTATCCCTGTGGTGGGGGGACACCCACGAGTGGTGTGTACATCTAAATGGGAAAGGAGCCTAGCTGATCACTTGGCTCTGACTTGCACAAATGTTATACCCATAGCGTCTGAGGAGAAAAGTGGATTTGTTGGCTCATGAACACTGCTTCGCTGGAAAATCCTGTGGTCCTTTTTCCACTCTCCTTTGGCACTCCTTCTCTTTCAGCTGTCTGCCTTGATTGCATTCTAGCCCAGTTCAGTGTAAGTATTTCTGGATTGTCTGCTCCCTATGTAAGCAAATCAGATCTGCTGAAATGGTGGTGACTATCTAGACTCCATAACAGCTGAAGAGCTGTCTTCCATCCTCTTTTCTTTTACCAAATCTAGTACTGAACTTTGTTTTTGTTATTCCCAAATACAATTGTCTGGTCTGTGCATACATTGATGTGGTTTTGGATTTCAAAGATACTTCATTTTTAGTATCTGCAGAACATCTGTTAACACTAGGGTGACATCCCAAAATATTGGACACGTCTGAATTCTTGTGTGTATAAATTTTTAATTGCTTTCCTCCTCTTCTCCTCCCCCTTGCCATGTAACCAGGTATTGCAGCTTTCTCCTCATGCATTTATTGCTGAGGTGCCAGGGACTTGTGCTCTCATATTCTGAGGATGGTAAAAGGACAAAGACTAGCATGTCTTCAGATATGCTGGAGTGTGTGTCCTAGTAACTGACACTAAATGACAGCTCAGCTTTTTATATTTTCAGCAAAACATCTTGGAATGAGATTGATGGAAGGGATTGGAGCTGACAGAGAGCTGGGATTGTTTGGTATCAGCAGGAGGCCTGGGGAGTGCTTATCAATCTGCATAAATACCTGGTGGGAGAGAGAAAAGAGACTGAGCCAGGCTTTCTCTGGCGCTATCCAGTGACAGGACAAAGGGCACAAACTGAAATAAGGAAATTCTGTGTAAATACTGAAAAATCAAACAAACTTGTTTACAGTAAGAGAAATTAGACACTGAAATATGTTGCCCAGATGTGGGCTGTGAGTCCCCATCTTTTGACACCAGAGTGAGACGTGGTTCAGAGCAAGCATCATCTGAGAAAGAGGCTCTAGAATAAAATGAAATATCCAACACTGGACGTTAGGAGAAGGCCTAATATATCTTTGGACAGTGTTCTTGTAAGGGGGCAAGTGTGAAAATTCTGAAAGTAGCATGGGACACAACACTGTGGTGGTGCTGGGTTTCGTCCCACCACCCCTGAGAAAGCGCTGGGCAGCAGTGCTGTCCTTGTGCTCATAGTAGCTCCACCTCCTTTCCACTAGCCACCTGTAGAGCCTTTTTGTTGCTCTCCCAGTGCCTTTCTGAATGATGCAAATAAAGGCTAGCAGAAGTGAGCTCCAGTCAGAAGAAATCAAGGTGTTGCAGTGAGATGTGCTTCAGTGGCTTTGCAAAGCGAAAGCATTGCCTTAGCATCCTCTAGTCATTGTAGTTATCTCCCTCTTCTGCTTCGCTGTCATGCATTCTGTCCTTGGGCTTCTAAGGCTGTTCCAGGTTTTTACTTGTTTTTCTGGGGATCGTAATGAAGCAGCAGGCAGAAGTGGAGGCTGAAGCAAAGCCTGTGCCCTGCACTGCACCCTTTGTGCCAGGCTGAGGGGTTAGAAGTGAGCACAGCACTCAGGGCAGCTGCAGATTGCTGACTGTGAAGTTTTAGGGTTTTGTTTGAAATCAAGGCTATAGATCTCTTGACTGGACAGGGGTGGACAGGGTGGGATCAGTGATTTAGTTTTTTCTTCTGCTTACACCTGTACGAATCCACAGCTTTCCCAACATTATTTTCAGCCAGCTTTAAGGAGTGAGGAGAATCTTAGCATTTCATGTATCAAAGGGAGCCACACAATAAAATTGCCATCTCTTATCTTCCAGCCACTGGACAAGCAGCAAGCTTTGGTACGGCGAGAATCTGTTGTTAACATGCAAAACTTCAAAAGGCAGTATGCCAGAAGGCGGTGGAAGGTATGGCAAGCAGCTTCTCATCCTGCTTGTGTTGGGCTGATGGGTATCTGCAGGCAAGGCAAAGGTTATACATGTAAAATTGTAAGATGCCTTAGACAAACAAAATGTATTTTGATGTGTCTGTATTGGTGTTTTCATATTCTCATTCTTCCTTCTATTTACTTACAGCTTTCTTACAGCATTGTCTCCTTGTGCAACCACTTATCTCGTTCGCTGGTGAAAAAGGCCCTAATTCAGGATGAATGTTTGGTAGGTACATTCTTAAAAGGGGAAGAAAATGCAATTTTACTGTGGATTGAAATTTGCAAGACATCAGTGGTTTGGGGTGGAAAACCAGGCATCCTTTGCATGCTGTTAATGCTACTGTAAGTTGTGTTATGCTGAGAAAGGAGAAACAGTGACTGCAAACCTTATAGGTGCTAGCCATGTTTATTTTACATAAAGGCAGCATAGGGGCTGCACGTTATTTGGATATGACAGCAGTGACTGTCCTGTCCAACTGAGAAATGAGCAGGTGTGGAGAAAGTCTGCACAGCCCTCATGACCAGCTGTGTGATGGGGGACCCTTCAGTGAGCATAACCTGCAATGAAACTCTGCTGGTTTTAGTACATCTGCTTTTCTCTATAAATGATACTGATTATATCAGACTACTTAGCAGCATGGTACCTCAATTATTGACTGGAATAACATGGCCTTTTTATTTCAGAGAAACGGTGAAAGTGAAAGTGACAGTGAGGATCTACTGCAAGGAGAAGCTGCTCATCAGAGGAAAAGCAGCATATCCTAGTGTAATGAGAATCCCACAGGCAAGAAACAGAGGGAACTTTCATCCGTGCTGAAAAAAGCAGCTCTGACAGCAGCCCTTGCCTTACTGTCTGGATCCTTGGAATGATGCTTCTTACTTCTGAAATGACAACAGCAGCTGGATAATGTTATTAATTCTTCTGAGCATTTTAGAAAATTGATGATCCAGATTTCCAGGGAAGTGGAAAGGCTCTACTGGAGTGCTTTTATATTTTGAGCTTTTTGTTGATATTTCAGTCTTTCTGATATCAACTTTACTCAGGATGCGGGCTTTCTACTTGATGTACTTTTACTGCAGAATCATTCACATTCCGCACAGTGATTGAACCTGTGTGTATTATTTCAGTCAGGGAAATTGTGATCGAGGCTTAAGGAATTTTCTTATGATTTTTGTATTTGTCAATAGCATCAATATTTGATAGCAGGTATGGCAGGTATTGATTGCTGTGGGCAGTACTCGCTCTGCTGTTGCTGTCGTTGAAGAGAGAACCATAGTGCCACTGCACTCCATAACTTTGCCTTCGCAACCTGGCAGCCAGCAGTTCTCCATTCCAATAAGAATTGTTCTGTAGCCACCACCTGGCTGATTGAAAGAGGACTAACACAGCTGCCATGGATAATGAGCACAGCCAAAAAAAACCCAGAAACTATTGGCTGGAGGTTGTTGTGCACCAAGAGTGATGGTGGGATGCTTTACCAAAACAGGGCTCTGAGAAAAGCCCTAAGGAATGTCCAAAATAGTCTTTATTAGACTTTTTTATTATTTTAATTTGTTAGCAAATTGGAGATTCATTAACACCTAGTTACATAGGTGTCGTTTACACATAACCCAAACTGTGTATGTTTGGGTTTTATTCAAAGGGTTTGTATTGAAAATTGTGAAGAAGCACTTTAATTTAGCTCCTTTCTGCTGGTAAGTTGCATCATTTTATCTACGTTAGTTTATATCGAATATGCTAGTATTATTCAGTTGGTACAAAAAAATGCACTGATGAGGCTATTTTTTTGTTGGAATATACTAGTTGTTAAAAATTATTTACTTTACCTTTAACGTGTAAACTAAAAATTGCAAAACAAGCTTTCTAGAAAAAGCCATAATTGATAGGGAAACCAATTTTGTTTTATTCTATGGTGGTCACATCCTGGTTCAAGTTTTAGAGCTGAAGGTGGAAGCCAGTGTTGAAAACATGCATTAGGTTAATTTTGCCTGTCTTCCAGTTTTTTAAGAAGAAGGAAAATTATGCTACTTGTATTTATATTTTTGTATACTTGCTTAGGTAGAGGCTGAAATGCAGTTGACAAGAAAGTGCTTCTGTGAAAGGATGGAAATGTGCAAGAAGAATTGCAGAAGAGAGGAGGAAGGTAGGATCTGAGGGAAGAATAGTAATGTAAATAGAAGGAAGTAGAGAAGGGGCAAAAGCAGTGGGAAGGAAATAGGTAAAGGAGGAAGTGTGCAGGGAGTTGGTGTGCAGGGAGGTGTGAACTGGGATTGAGAAGGTTTGAAGAAGGGAAAGAGAAAGTAGGTAGAGGAATTTTGGTATTTTTGTTTGATTGGTATTTGTTTGTTTTCCTCATCTCCAATGAAGATGAGGTCATTTTGGTGAAAAAAGGGAGTGTTAGGTGTGTGCAGCTCCAGAATCTTTGGCTGTCTTTTTTTCTTTTTTTCCCCAGTAGTTTTGGTTGTTCTAATGATCCGTACCTCACTGTAGGCAGCTGGATGCCAGAAGTTTCAGATGGATCATCAGCCAGCCTGACATTTTTATGAACTCTATTTTAAATTGAGTGCTGTGGCAATTTAACACCAGTTGAAGACCAGCTCTATTGCTGTTACCATGTTTTTTCTTCCCCTTCTCTTACCAAATCTGAGTGGCTCTTTGCACCTCAGCTGTTAGTGACTGTAACCTCCTGTTAGTGACTGTATTATCACTTTGTCAAACTGGGGTTATCTCAGTAGTCCTCTCCACCAACCCGTACCCCAGATTAAGCATTAAAAAAAGCATTAAACAAACAAGGAGTATCATAGGACATCAAGCTGTTGTATGTCTGTTGTTTTCTGTTTGTTTTCTTTTCCTTCCAAATTAATTCTCTTTGATCAACTTAGCTTTGAGACATTTTTCAGTGAAGTCAACACATTGCAGCATGACCTGGTTTGTTGGCAGCCACTCCTGTCCTGTTTCAGCATCAGCATGGCTGTGCAGAGTGCTGGGTTTGGATTATGCACCAACATTAACTGTGGGACAGTGTTCCTACCATTTTTTGTATGTTTTCTTGCTTTCAACACACTTCTACAATGCTAAATGATGTTTTAAGTGTGCTAATGATTTTTTTTTTTAAATTTAGGTCACTCGTTTGTTTCAGTGTTTTGGAAATCTGGTCTTGTGTTCATTTCTGTGAAGCACTTGGTGATCTGTTCTTGAAATTACTCTGAGCTGCCTGTATTATTTGCAGAGCTTTCAGAGTTCCAGAACTCTTTACGCCTTCTGAAATCCTGGCCTGAATCCCTTTTTCTGTTGAGGTAGCTGGACACGGGTTGCCAGACATAAAATTCTTTTGCTCTATGAACCAATATCACAGGGACTGGTTGAAGCATCTGTTAGGCTTCCATGTAGTATGTTGTATTTTAGCAGACTGAGAAGAACAATCTTCTACATCAGTGGAGCAGTTCCAACGTTTAATCCTTGGTTTTCATAAATTACATGTGGTCTAGTTAAATGTTTTACGTGCTCTCCCTGACATCGTGTGATTTTGGAATGAAACAAGCTCTATACTTGTCATATTTATACTTCACTTTTTTTGTGTTGTTTTTTGTAATTGTGACAATTGTACTTGTTGTAATTTGAGCTTAACTTGTTTATGTCATTCATTGTCCTGTAGGAATTGCAAACAAATTTTCATTATGTTATTCACTTAGCTTTTGGTATATGTATTTAAAAAATAGGAGCAGAAAAGAAAAAATGTTCTTCAATGCATGCAAAGCACTGCAGTAAGGTGTTGCGAGGGAGCAGCAATGGGAAAAGCTGTTCTGGTGTCGGGAGGGAATCTTTCCCAAACAAAATGATAATGTTCAGTGAGGGGCTGCCCAGTTCACCTGCTGGCTTCCCCTCGCTGCACCACTGCATTCCTTGGGTTATGGAAAACCAAATAAACTCAGAGCCAGAGGTCTTTTTCAGAATTCCCCGTGTTTCACAGCATTTTCAGGTTACAAATGGGAGACTGTGGGTTGCACGGCCCTGAGGGGATTGGCCTGGCCAGGCCATGCCCTCACACCTGTTCCCCTCAGATGGAAGGGGCTCTCACAGGGGGTCCTGCCTGATTCGCATCAACGGCTGTTTGCATGAACATACTGCTCCTGTCACGTCTGTATGTGGGCTGGGAATGCTGCTTAAACATGGGCACGTGGCAGCAAGTACATCTCTGACAGCATTCTGTGGAGAGCACTGCTAAATGCTTGAGAACGCAGAGGGTTTTTTGTTTTCTGTCTCTCAGCTTTCCATGTGATCGTTGTGACTTGGCTGATGTTCTCTGTGTTTTTCATTTCAACACTCCTCTTTGCATAAAGCTCAGAATCTGTGCAAGGCAGCAGCATACCCTGCAGCAAGGAGCTGAGCCTGACGGGGCTGAGGAGGTGAGTAGAGCCAGCTGGGGGTGGCGGTGGGGCTGGGAAAGTGAGTAGAGCCAGCTGGGGGTGGCTGTGGGGCTGATGAGGTGAGTAGAGCCAGCTGAGGATGGCCGAACCAGTGCTCATGGGATGGCTGCAGCTGTGCCCCAGGAGCCAGCTAGGCTAGGAGGCAGAGGCTGTGTCCATAAGTAGAGTTGTGAGGAGCTGGAGGGGCAAAGAGCTATGGAGGCTTCAGAAGGGTAAGGGTTTGTGGCTCTTGTGAGAATGAGCAGCTTTGGTGGGAAAAGGGGGGTTGGAGGAAGGGCCTGGGGGAGGCTGGATGGGATGGAGAGCGAGCTCTGGCTCTGAGATGAGATGGAGAAGTGGGAGAGCTGCCTGACTCTGGGTTTTTTCTTAGTGTGAGTTAGTACTGGTGATGAGGCTATCGCTGAGCGTTGGTTTTATATAGCAGTTTGTCACAGTGTGTGACTGTCAGTCTCAGAGGTGTAACATTTTCCTGTCATACACAGAACTGTGCTCAGTCACAGGGTGGGAAGCACCTAGTCAGGAAAATTAGATAATACTGTGTCATGTCAATAGTTCCAAAAATGCTTCCTCACTTCCCACCCAGCAATAAGCTGCATAAACTACATTGGATGTTTTGTTAAAAATGAGTGATTGAGGTATCCTCTAATGGTGTACATGTAAATTGTGATGATACGATAAATAATTGGGGGTGGGGGAAAGCTTGTAAGTAATTCTGGTGCTTTAAAAAATGTTCTTGCTCTCTATCTGCCAAAAATGTGCTGTAATGTATTGGTATGGAATCTGAATTTCATTAGATTGCTTCCAAACATGGGAAGGTCTTTCTAAGGTCTTTCTAAAGTCTAAGATATTTAGCTTAAAGCCTCTCATTCAGTTGACAAAGGATGGAAAATACTGGGTCTAAATTAAGTTTAGACCCAGTTACACAGTTCAAATGGCAGACAGCAACATAAGGATGCAGTTTGGGTCATAGCACTAAGCCTGAGTCTGTCCTCAGTTCCTGACAGACCTTGTCAAGCTGCAGCAGGGAAAAGTGAGTTCTCCAATGTTTGCAACAAGTCCAGTCTTATTTTGAAGTGGGATTGACTCTAAGCTCTTGAAAATGAAACACCTGGAAAGGTACGGTGCAGGCAGATGTGTGGTTGTAGTGGTCTTTATCTGACTGAACTAATGCAGCTTGTCTGTGTGTCATGTGATGCTGAAAGAGAGGTATCACACAAAAGGACATCTGATTTTTCTGGAGTTTAATTACATTTTAAACAGGACCGTGGTGAATGAAATGATTGATCAGTGAGCTGGGCAGGCTGTATGAACTGCCTTAGGTCTTTAGTTTATGCCCTATTACAATATTTGAAAAAACAATTTTTTTGTCTAAAGTATTCTGGCATTATTTACGTTGAGATAAGAATAATAATTCTTGTGGAGCTATGAGCACTTTGGCTTTTGCAGTAGTTGATAAATACAGCTTTATTCAGACCACGGTGTGAACAACCTGCCTGCTCCTCCAGGAGGGGATGGGAGCTCTGTGCCGCACAGACGTGTCACAGCCGCGTGCTGTGAGGTTGAGCCAGGCCTGCCCTCCAGCTGCTGCTCTCTGGAGCGCTGGGTGCTTCTCTCTCTGCAGTTTCTTTTCCTGCTCCAGCTGATACCTGCATCACAGAACTGGTTTCCTGAGTCTTGATGGTTTCAAGCAATTGTGATCTTTTGTTTCTTTAAAAGCAGAAGCTGTTTGGCCTGTCGTGACAGGCACTCTAAACACATAAGCATTTTAAGCTATAACACATAAACCATTCTTGTGTGGCAGCCAGAGTCCTCATCTTTTCCAGTGGAAAGCCCCAGTCGTGGGATAGGAGATCAACACATGCTCTCTTTGGTCCAGGGAACCTGTAAGTCCTGCTCACACAATACAAACACTACACAGCGGTATCTGGAGGTATCTGCCTCAGTTTCCACATCCTCAAGTACCTTCCTCTGGAGCCAGCCGTGGGGTTAGGGCTTTTTCTAATGAGTGCTTGTGCAAGTGTGGCCAAGTCCAGTGCCACGCTGCTAAAGGGTCTGTTCTCTTTAATCACACAGCTCTGTGCTGAGGAGGGTTTGTCTGTGCTGGAGCAGAGGAGAGAATGTCTGGAGATAAGGGAGTTTCTTTTCCTTCTTGCTTGCTGATTTTTGGGATGAAGAGTTAATGTAAAAGTAATCAGAGAGATTCAATGGCCAGCTGCTGCTGTGGTCACTGCACTTCAGTCTGAAGTCCCCTTAGGAAAGCATTGTCAGCTGTAATCTTTTAATCTGTACTTTTCCTCTCTGTCCGGTAGCTGTGACCTTCTGCAAGTCACAGAGAATTGAAAGGATGGGGGTGGTGGTCATTTGTCATCCTTCTAAGAGTCATCCAGGAGCAATGAGGAATTATGTAAACCCTTCTGTATTGTGATAAGAAGCATCTGAAACCCTGGACAAGGTGCTCAAAAGCAAGTGAGAAGTTTTTCCTTTTTTCTTTCTTCCTGCTTTCTTTGTGTATGCATTGTATGGAATCAAAAAGCACCTTCCAAAACAGGTGGCTGGTACTTGTTGGTGTCTCCTGGTTTAATCTAAAATGAGCTTAGTGAAGCTTTCCTGGAAAGCTGAGGGTACACAGGGCCCTAAATGACTGTGTATCAGTCTGATTCTGTCTCACTCCACTGCTCACGAGTAACACAGATGGTACCAGCTTGAGTAAATATACCTCATATGGCTACACTTGCCATGCTTGGTGTTATACCTGCACTAAGATGATGTGATGGTGGATTATAAGGGGTACACGGATGCTTTCCCTATTGGGCTTTAGCATCTTAATTTAATAATGATAAAGCAGAGCAGTAGGTAGCAACATTCATTTTGTTTTTCAGAAGTGGGGAGAGGCATAGTGTTGAAAAATTGAATAATAAATATCACAGAAAGGTAGCTTAAAATGCTTAAGGGTTGGGCTTTCTTTTGGCTTCATATATCACTGTTTATCTCTGTATACCTTTTAGGACTGTGGCGTCCCAAATGACAGCAGATCTGCTTTGGTCATTTTCTTTTTTTTTTCCTTATACCAAGCCCAGTAAAACTACATTGCCTACAGAGTACTTCACAGCTCTACTGATGGTGAGGTGCTAGTCGTAATGTGCTTGGTAACTTGTCCTGAAATTGGTGTCAGTGAATAAATGGACAGTTAAGGTGTACACCACAATCAGAAGTTGATTGCTGTCTTTGTGCAAAATGAGAATAAGTGCTCCCAGACTGGTATTCCCTCTTTGTCCTGATGGAGTTTTATAATCACACAGACTTCATGTTTTTAAAGGACTACATAAAAATCAAGGCAATGGGAAGCTGGTCTGTTACAGATCACCAAGCAGAATAAAGACAGTAGCCTCGTTTGGCTTTATTACAAGGTTTTGTTATTAGAGTCTTCATATTTGTCCAATGCCATGTGTGCATTTGCATACATTTGAATAATCTTCTCCTGAAAGAAGACAGAGCTTAATGCTCTTCTGGCTTGTTTGTGTGCTTGTGGGGATATGACCAACAAAGTGGTTTTAGTCTTTGTGTAATGTGCAGTATTAGGAAAAGCCCTTTCTATGAATTGCTTCTGAAGTTCAAAGCCAATATCGATAGGTGAGTTCCAGTTTTCTTGGCCTATCTGATCAAGAAGATTTTGTTTAGAATGTTTTTGAATTCTCCAAATAATTTTGTTTGCAATGGTCCCTAAGATAAGAAGCTTCTAATGTTCCAAGCTGCTCTTCTGCTTGGGAATCAGTGTGTGTATGTTGCTCACTCTGAAGGAAGAAAATCAGATTAGCAGCGATTAGTCTCATGCTGTGTACGCACAGATTTTTTCTTATGGTAAATGCTAAATTACCTATTTCTCAAGTGTGACATTGCACTGAAGCTCTGCATGGTCTGTGGGCACCACATCTTTTAAACGTGCTCTAATTCTTCAGGACATAGAGTAAAACTTCTCTGAAGAAATAGAAACTGTTTTGAAATGGAACAAGACAGATTTTCAGCATTCCCATGGGAAGCTTAGATTCAGATGAAGAGCCAGTTTCCCACTTTATATCAATGTCAGTGCTCGTTTAGTATCAACTTAAAACATTTTACTTGTTAACCAAGAGTAATTAAGAATATCTTGAAATGTTCTTTCCAACTTATTTCCCTGCCCTTCAGCGCACTTGGTGTTTGTAGGGATGTTGTTTCACAGACTCCTCAGGGAAGCAGAGAACAAGAAATTATGGTGAATTTGTCCACACACACACACACACACACAAAGCTTAAATTTGGAAGGAAAAAAAAATGAAATGGCAGAAGGTTAGCAAATGCTGTGTGCTCTCCAAATAAAAATGTTATTCAGCTGTTTTTTTTAATCAAGCTTGTATAATGTTTGGGTGCAATGGACTTACCCTGTACTTAATAGCACCGTACAGCTGCAGTCAGCCAAAGGAAAGCTTCTGTCACTGTCCTCATGTAAGTACATGAAGAAGTGGTGCTCACTCCTCAGCTCTGTTTCTTTCTGATAACTGGTGGAACTGCTATGTGCCAGGTTGAATTGGTTCATTATTTAAACTCTTATGAACGTCGTGTGACACAACATTTACTTTTGCGTTTTGGTCAATAAAAATGTAAACAGGACTGTGATCTTAAGGGCAGTTGTTTCAGAGCATGCAACAATGACAAAATGTTAATGGTGATCTGCCCAGGTGCTAAAGATCAGCCGAATGTGGGTAGAAGTTAACAAAAACTTGCCTGGTCTCCCGGTGCCTTAGCCAGCTGCAGTATGGAGGAGTGTGCAACTCTGTCACGGCGTGCTATTTACAGTCCCATACTGTGCCTGTAACCATGGCATCTGAGCACCTTGTAGGCATGGGCACGTTTTGTAACAGCATGAAATGTCCTCTAAGGATTAGCAAGAAACCTCAACTTTTAGCACCTAAGTTCTCGCTCATAAAGAGGAAAAGATTGCATTCATGCTTTTTTTCCAAGTACAGCCTTCTATTCTTACTATTGACCTGTAACTTCAGGAGGAGTTAACTAAATGAGGAGATCTGGAGCTGTGGACTTGGTGCTCTTTGGTTGTTCTGTTGGCTGGGCAGGCTGGCTGCCTTCCCATCTCAGTAATTGTTTCTGGCATGGCAGAGCTGTGCCCTGCTGCTGCAGTGGGGTGCAGTGTTTTTCTTTTGCTTCCTGCCTTATATTGTCATTCAGTTGTGCTCCCGTGTCACGTTTGTATGAGAAGCTATTGGGATTATTTATGCTGTGTAAAAAAAAAAAAAAAAAAAAAAAAAAAAAAAAAAGCAAACCTGTATGCAGACAGGTTCAGAATTGATTGAAAAGCCTGACCTTGAGATCTCTGAAGTATATGATCCTGCATCTATTTCAGATGTTATTCTGAAAGACCCCTGGCTTGTGCTGCTCTGTTTCTCCATTTGGAATCCCCAGACTTCGGTGCAAAGCCAGAAGATCCCTCCCTGGGTCCTGTTCCAAGGGCTGAGAGTCTGTGCTCTCCATCGCTGAAGGCTGAAGTCTGCCTCAGCTCGGGCAGCTGATCTGGGCTATGTGAGGGCGATAATACTTGTAGGTTGAAGCATGCATTACAGGGTGCTTCCTCTTTTCCCAGGTTGCTGTAACATCTGTAGCTTAACTTCTGCTTTCGAATGGGCTTGGTGTGGGTGGTCACTGCCTCCTCTCAGACTGGTCCATGTTACAGTTCCGAGTGCTACATGTCTCCTTTTAGCCTTGTTCTATGAAATCCTGGAGGCAGGGTCACTGACAGAAGTGCTTCTTCAGGCCACGATCTCATTCCAAACTGCAACCTCTGAAGTTGCAGGTAGGTATTTCTGTGAGGCAGTAATCCTGCAATTTGTTTCTGCAGTGCTCCTGACATTGAGCAGCAGTAGCAATGTGAGAAGCGTCTCTTGAGCAGAATTGTTGGTGAGAGCATTTTCAATCTCCCAGATTGTCTTCCTGCAAAACTGCTGCAACAAATGTGATTCTGAAGCACCTTCCTGTAGGGCTGGTTCCTAATTTTCACAGTAGCATGTCAGCTTCCTTGCGAGGAGGACACCCTGCAGTGAAGCATGCAGATTGCTTCAGCTTAGTTGTTTCATGACCACTGTGTCCTTTCAAAGCTGCAACCGAGATAAGTGCTTTTTTTTTTTCTTAAAGTCATGAGCATTTAAAGTTATCCTTCCAGTGTCACATGAGCAATGTTATTACATTTATATTGTTTTATTTAACTGCTATGTGAAGGGTGATGACTTGAATTCCTTCAGTTCTCAGGGTGTGTTCCTTAAGACAGCTGTTTTCTAGAAAATGGGTATCAGTGCATTTCATGCATTTCCTCCTCAGTGACAGCCTGCAGTGCCAGCAGTGAGATGCCTCCTGTCATTGCCATGTCACCCTGCTTATACTTAGAGCACTGGCACTTGTTGGTACGCTTTATTCCATTCTTTGGACTTTGACCCTATCACCTCTATTATATGCTGCGCAACCTCACTCTGAAATATGAATATTTTCCATCATTTGTGTTTCATTCCAGGCTGCATTATTATGTGCTGTAAGACAGACATCCCATCTTGTAGAAATGGTTTGCTTCTTCCTTGGAGTCCATGTTTAACTCTGTCAGTATTTTTCAGTAGTCACTAAGGTAGCATGTGTTTCGTCATGATCTTCCTTCTTTTCCTATACTGTGGCCTAACAGAACGGTTTCTCAGTGCTGCTAAGCTGTGCCTATTGAACCCTTCTCAAATTTTACAGTACGTTATGTCCTTTTTTTTTTTTTTTTTACTTACCTGTGTTGCATATTCATGAAAAAAAAAATTATCAATGCATTTTCCTAATGTTGACCATTGCATTCACATCTGGTGCTGCTGTATTTCCTCTTGCTGTATTTTTGTCTTACAGTGCTGGCACATCTATCCTGTTGTGTCCTTGGTGGTGTATTTGTTTTACTGGGCATCTGTTTATCTTTACTAGTGACCATGAAGGTTTGTATTTATTTTTGGAGCACGTCCACTATCCCCTAAATCCTAGTGTTCCTTCCCCCGGATCAAAGCTTATTGGGTCAACTTCTGTCTTTTTACTTTTCTTTTCCTACCTGCTTGGAATCCGTCCTTCTCTAGGCATTTGTGGTGGTGGGAAAAAGAAAGAACAAACAAGGTTGTACATTCAATTCCAGCTGAGCTACCTGTTTATCCACTGTTCTTATAGCAATGTGATATTTTATAGTTAGCTACAAGTACTGGTCTGGATATATTTTTCTACCTACACAAAGTGTTTGTCTAATCCTGCATTTTGAATAAATATGCATTTGAAAGCAAGCAGGTATATCTATGGGCCTCAGGTCAGTGGCTATAACTGTTTAACACTTGTTTTTGTGGCACTTCTGATTTCCAGCTGCTGAGCAGACAGTTGTCGCACATTGTGTATGAGAGCAATAGTTTTTGCTTCTGGTGGCTGTGAACAGCCAAATTGAAGTCAGTGGAATTGCAAATACAGAATAAACTAAATAAGATTTCCACAAGCTGACTAATATTCTTTCATATATGCTTTGATCTCAGCATCCCACCTCAGATCACAGAGCAGGACTAGAGAAGAAGGCTGGTATGCCGCATGTCTGGTTGTACAGCTCTGTGACAGCAGACTACGAACTTATGGGGTTCTTCAGCTGGAAGAGATAAATGACCTAGTGAACTTTGACTTTCACTCAAAAAAACGCTCCTTTTGAAACGTTTCTCTTGGTGCTTCTTTCACCCTTTCAGTATTTCCTTTTTTTGTCACTGGCTGGTTATTTAATGGTGGAGGACAAATACCATCAATCAGTACTCCACTGTTGTCTTTGATTTATCTGCTTTGCACTAGGCACTTCTCAGTAATAATTTCCGTGATGGCTTATTTGCAATATGAACAGGGCTGTACCTTAAAAATGAAGGTGTATCTTTAATAAAACGAAGCAATTTAATGTTGGAAGCTTTTGTAAGGAGCACAAGCAAAACTACTGACTTGCAACATATTCTGAACAAATTAAATTGCGCTGTCAGCTACTTCGTTTGGAAGGAATAAAGGAAAAGATAATTTTGAGTATTATCCGCGTTATTGAGCAGGTTGGCTGTAGCTGGAAGCCATAGATTCTCCCATGCTCTCTTCCTGAGTTATTTTTCTTTTTCTTCTCCTGTTGTCTGTAGTTGACAACACGAGTTATGAGAGGCATATGAGAAGCTAGGTCAAAATCAGCCTCTCCTGCTGCTAAACTGGGAGAGTTTTCATAATAATAAGTACTGTGCTGATTAGTTCTAAAAACAACAACAAAAAACCTGCCCTATCTAATTATAGCACCAAAAGTTCTAAATTTGGGGTAGCTCATTAGGACAGGAGACAACATGCTATGGTCACTGATTAACAGTGAAGGATGTTAGACAGCATTATTTATCTTTCTGAAGAGCTCATTTATATCTTGGGCAGTTGGTCAGCAATGGATCTTCTTTAAAAGTCCAGGAGTTAAGATGTCTCTGATAACATTCCCTTACTGAAGCTGGGAGAGTGCTACATAGTACAAAGTGGATTCTCAGGTATTTTGGGAAATCTGGTACTTCAATAAGGTTAAACTAATCCAGCCCATGGGAATTACAGACTGTTCTTTGTTTGGCATTGAATAATTGAGAATTCATGTGGTTTGCCTAATATTCGTTTAAGCTGTTTTAGGAAAAGGGATATGAAAAACGAGTTAAAAAAAGCAAGGTATCCAGAGAACTAAAAGAGGAGAAGCTTTTGATGACTGTCTTGTTGGACTGGGAGCAGTGTGGTGTTGTGTGTGTACCTCAAACTAATGGTATTCAGCGCTCTCCAGTAGGTGGCAGAGATCACAACTCTTGTTGAGTTTGGTGCCAACAATTGTCTTGCGGTACAATTTCAGATTTGTTCTCGTGTTTGGGATTTGGGGAATGTTTTTGTTATTTGTAATAACTTCTCTCAAGTCACTGATCAAAACTGCAGTTCCAGCCTGCTCCTAGTCTGAATATAAATGGTACAACGTCTGGTACTGATGTCATACCAATTTCCTTGAGGGAGAGGGCTTGAAAATACTGAACCATTCCTACAGGTTGTACAGCTAAAGGGGAACTTTAGAATACTATTTTGAACTGTTGGAACATTGTAGGAGCTGCTGCTTGAAGACTGGCATTTATTTCCTAGGGAAATGTCACCTTACAAAACAGTATACTGAAAGTTCCTTCAACCTGTCTTCCTAGAAGAGTTCTGTTTTTCACTGAGTTCCTTGTATTTTAATTGTATTTCAAATAATTTTACAGCACCTGTTTTGGTTTTTTTTCCATCTTTTTCCTTGTGGAATCTGTACATTCCTTCATTTTTATTATATTTTATAGCAACATTTAAAACCAAACATTGTACAAAATTAAGATCCTCTCCTACCTGTGTTCAGTTTACGTTGAATCAGACATTCCAGCACAGCTGCATTCTTCAGATGGAAGCTGTTGACCATCTGTACGCTGTTGCAGCTGTTGGTGAGATCTGGTGGAAGGGGACTGGCTCTGGAAATGAAACTGCCGTTGTGATTTTAAGATGCTGAATCCTATCGGTGCTGTCTCTGAGATGAAGCAGGGAAACTTGAGAGTGCATGAAGCCTCCAGAAATAAGCAGCTTGTTTCTGTGAATCGACAGAAATAGTGACACAAGAAATAGTTCCTGCTGGACTTTACATACTGTTCAGAAATGTGACTCTGAAACCTGCCTGGAAGCGAGTGAAGTGGGTAAGGTTGGAGGCAAGTGAGCCAGTGTGCACCTTGTCCATAAAATGGCACACAGGCATGTATGGCCACGCATTCATGTGGGCTGTGTGGGAAGGCTGGGCCCACTGGCTGCCCAGTACTGTACTGGCTGTACTGGTGCAGTGCCTGTGGGTGGGCACTGCGTTGTGCTGCGCCGTGCCCCATTCAGTGATGGGATGGCACCTTCAGGAGCTGTGTCCCAGCCAGCAGCATCCAGCAGCTATTTAAGACTTTTGAGGAGCTAAACAACTCCAACTGTTTGGCGAGGGAAAGAAATAGGCAGTTTGAGGGAATTAAAAATAACACCAAGAAAAACCTGTTTGGTAATCAGCTGAATGCTGGTGGCAGGGAGGTGAGGAGGAGGATCGTGTGGAACACAGCCAGCCGCGTGCCCCTTAGTGCATTTGGGCATGGGGATTAGTTATACCAAACCCTTTCTAGAAAAGCTGGGAGAAAACGTCTCAGCCATCAAATAGACTGCCTACAGGAATTTGGC